GGCCAGATGTTGATTAAACCTAATCTAGAGGTTCATCCAATGGCTACTTTCGAAAAGTTTATTTAAAGTCTATCCAGTGGTTCTTAAGATATTCTGCTAACAGACAAACAAAGTTGACTCCAACAGGTAATGCTAACATTTTAGGCAAAGTTCTCATCCAGTATGCAGCACTTGGATTATGTGTTTCAAGCAACTCTTGGCATTGAGTGTACCAGTTTTTAGCACAAAATCCATATAACTGACTGAAATTTTCTTTTTTTCTTTTTTTTCCTCAAGGTCAGTTGACTGTTAAAGCCATCTTGAGTTGCAGTGGCTCCAAAAGTTAATCATTTATAGACAAACCTAATTATTATTTCCTCAAAGATCATTGATGTGCAMATAATTATAATTGTTAGCTTTAAAGTGTCACAGACTGGAAACACCTCGGCACCTGAACAGCTTTTGTCCCAAAAATCGAAACCCTTTTCCTCGTCTCGCAGGTGCTCGTTTTGGCTCCGACACGCGAGATCGCAGTGCAGATCCACTCGGTGATGATGGCCATCGGCTGTGCCACGGAGGGCCTGGAGTGCCACGTTTTCATCGGGGGGAGGCCCGTGGCTCAAGACAAGCAGCATTTGAAGAAGTGTCACGTCGCCGTGGGCTCGCCTGGTGAGAGGCCGGCAGCGTGACCTGCTGATGGATCTGTCGCCTGCGTTTGGTAACAACCTTGTGTTCTCAGGTCGCATCAAGCAGCTCATCGAGCTGGGCATGCTGTCCACCGCCAGCGTCCGACTGTTTGTTCTGGATGAGGCAGACAAGCTGCTGGAGGAGGGCAGCTTCCAGGAGCAGATAAAGTAAGAGGGGACAGGGTGTTGAAAGCGTTATAAAAAAATGTGCTGACATTTACCCAGTGTCTCTGTTCCCCCTCAGCTGGATCTTCTCCTCTCTGCCTGTCAACAAACAGATGCTGGCTCTCTCTGCCACCTACCCAGAATCCCTTGCTCAGTACCTTACCCGCTACATGAACGAGCCCACTTTTGTACGACTCAATCCAAGTGACATGGGGCTTAAAGGTAAGACCCTTTCTAGTGATCTGGAATAAAATAAAATACTTTMATCTTTAACAGGATCACATTTAGGACTTTATTTTCTAAGAGTTTTATTGAAAATGGCTTCTTCGTGTCAGGGCTAAAGCAGTTCTACAAGCTGGTGCCATCCCACCCCCTACCTCACAAGGTTTTCGAGGAGAAGGTGCAGCATTTACTGGAGCTGTTCAGTAAAATCCCCTTCAACCAAGCCTTGGTGTTTTCCAACCTACACACAAGGTAACAGCTTTTTTTGAAAGCCCTCCCTCCTCTCACAGCTGCTGCTGATCAGCTGTTATTACAATGAAAAAAAGAGGATTACATTACATGTGTGAATTAAGATTATTATTTTTTTTGTTATGGTTCTGTGCTTCTGGATTTGGCCCACAGGGCTCAGCATCTGGCAGACATCCTGTCCTCCAAAGGCTTACCTGCTGTCTGTATATCAGGTGAGATTCAATCAGTGGATGTAATAACATAAAGGAAAATATTAAACATACATTTTTCTTTTTATAAAATAAATTTAACTTGGGGAGGGGAAAAAGCAGAATTAATTGTTTTAGTTGTTTAATTTTTAACAAATGTTGCTCCATTTAAATCAGAGAATCTTCCAAAGTCAAAAATATTTTATATTTGCCTCCTTGTGGTCATTTTAAGTATTGCAGTTTAATCAATTTCCATATGTGGACAACTTATTCTCATAGTCACTTTTTTAAAGACATTTTTATTTGCTTGTTCAGAATCCTACAGCTGATTATTCCTTGAAATCTTAAATAAAAATGATGGAYGGTGTGTGCAGGTGGTCTGAGTCAGGACCAGAGACTGGAAGCCATGTCCAAACTGAAGCAGTACCAGTGCAGGGTGCTCATCTCTACAGACCTGGTGAGACGAACACATTGCAACACTTTCTGTGCATCCTCTCTGTTCTACTAAGAAATARTCAGTAATTTTAATGAAATTAGCAAAAAAGTTATTATTGGAGTCAATTCAAGACGACGCCCACTGCCAAGTAACCCTTAAAAAATGGCTATAACTCAGACAATTCTACAAATATTAACCTAAAATATGATATGGTAGTAGCTGAGACTGATCCCCAACACWTAACCTGAGTGCTAACARATTGTGTAGACTYATTGTTTAAAATCTTTCCTTTAGGTATTTAGAGTCAACTCTGCCTGTCTGTTAGCAAAATATCTCATGAACCACTTGMCTGAGTTTAATGAAACTTTCAGGAAAAAATCWWTTGGARTAYCTTTRACATTGATTACCTTTTGGAGCRGATACAATTCAAGATGRCTGCACAAAGCCCACTTAACTTTGAATTATAAACAGTTTGTGTTTTCTGACATTTTTACGTATATTATGCTTAAATTTAGTGTGATATTAGCTGAAAGTCATTCACAATTTATACTCCAAGTGCTACTCACCATGCAAGATATTTGCTTAAATCTTCAGCATCTACTGCTGGCGTCAATTCTGCTCGTCTGTTAGCAAAATATCTCATGAACCACAGGACCGATGCAAATGAAACTTTCAGAAAGTAATCACCGGATGTACTTGTACAACTCATTAAAATTTGGAGTTAACCTAATAAAATTTGACTGAAATAGCTARTCGAAATTAACAAGCACAAAAATGGCTATAACTCAGTCAGTTGTTCATATATTGAGCTGAAATTTGATGTGCTTATAGYTGAGGGTCATTCACAACACAGTACTTTCAAGCAAGACATCTCGTGATAGATCAGATTGTGCATTACGTTATGTTCAGGGTTTGACCAAAATGTAACYAGTGGGCAATAAAGAATGCATTCACACTATTAAGATCAGTTTTTCCTCCGTATGTTCTTCGGCACAAATCTCATCCCGAATTTTTTTAAATTTCAACAATTTCTATATCAAAACATTCAGCTCCTTCAGGACATTCCTGCCATGACTTGTTGTACTTCAGCAATTTATACTTTTTGAGCAGGTTCAGCTTTTTCTGCCATTTTTTTGTTCTCATTGAAAATGAATTGAGCGGTCAACATCTTTAAAACCCTTCAAAATATTATTAAAACTTTATTTTACTTGTTACATTTTGTTCTGGTTCTGATATATAAATGTTTTACTWCTTTGTCCTAATTTCTGATTTGAGCTTTTTTTCTAGCTATCATTCTGACCTTTTCTGCTAATTTCATCTTCTGCTACTTTAAACTTATCTTTTGTTCTTTGCACTCTTTCTGCTTATTTYACTCTGTCTGCCCCTTTCAGCAATGTTTCGACCCCTTTTTTATTTTTTATCTGCATATTTTTCTTTTCTTTTTTTAGCTCTTCTTAGCCCCTTGAAGCTTTTGTTTTAGTTCTTCAGCCAATTTCAGCAATCATCCTGCTAATGTTGGGTTCCACCTGAACTGTTAAAATTCATCAAGCAATAATAGTTTAGCTTTTAAAAATATTTTGTCTTTAGCAGCTTTCAGCTAAATTGTTCAGCAATAAGCATTCACAACTGCGTTTTCACAGGAAGTGCAGTTTCTGTAGTTATGATCAGTTTGTTTTGTCCCCTCTGAGGCAGACTTCCAGGGGGATAGATGCAGAGAAAGTCAACCTGGTGATCAACCTGGATGTGCCGCAGGATTGGGAGACCTACATGCACAGGATTGGACGGGCTGGACGTTTTGGTAAAAGGCAGCAGAAGGCTTTTTTTATTTATTTACTTTTCCTCTCGTCACTCTGTTGATGACAGTACAGCAGGAGAGGCTGTTTGTGTGAAGAACTTACATCATTATTGCAGAATCTATCCTCTGGGTTTTAGTCCTCAGTTTTGAGAAAAACACATTTTCTGTTGGACTCGACACTTTATGATGGTAAGTCTGACTTTTCTTTAACATTTCCTGTTATTATGGGTTGTTTGTAGGCACACAGGGGCTGGCTGTGACCTACTGCTGCCATGGTGAGGAGGAGAACAAGATCATGTCCATCGCTCAGAAGTGTGGCCTCAGTTTGTCTGCTCTTCCATGTAAGTCCTGGAACTYTCTGCTCAAACCACGTTCCTTTAATTTAAAGTTAACCACTCAATCTCATTTTACCTGTGATTGTAGCCACCTTAGAGAGTGAGCTGATGGACGAGCCGTGTGACTGGGATGTGTGCACTGAGGCCTCCGCCCCAGAATCCGTGTCGCAGCTGTCGTCTAGAACTGAAAAGAAGAGGCGTTCAAAGCCCGCGGTGTCTGCGTSTGAACCCGTCGAGGATCAAGCTGCGGAGCGCGGGAGTAAAAAAAGGGCCGATAAGACCCCAGGAGTACCCGGGAAGGTGCCGCGCGCCGAAGATTCCGCAAAGCCRACGACTTCCACGCGAGCCGCCCCGCAGCGGAGCTCGCCTCGCGCCACGCCGACTCGGAAAGAGCTGCAGGACGCCCTGCCCAAGATCCCTCCGCTCAGCTCGTTCAAGAACTGCAGCCTGAAGTTCGTGACCTTCGAGGAGGCAGAGCACGACTTCCAGACCTTCATCAGCACCGGTTTGGGGAGATCGGTGGAGGTCATCAGGGAGTTCAGAGGCGAGGACCAGAAAGCGTACAAGGAGATCGTCACGCTTCACGACGACGGGACTCAGGACGTTGCCCAAAGCGGTGAGTGGCTGCATTTGGATGTTTCCCCTCGGCGCTCAGTTTCCAGTTCTTCTAACTCGGCCTCCGACGACGATGCGACGCCTGGAGGTTCAAGCGAGCCCACAGAGGCTGAACACAGACCACCTGGTAAACCTCAGCCTGACTTCGCTGCACAAAACCCCTCTGCACCTAAAATACATAAGCAGACATCCAGCAGAACCGGCGGCAGAGCCTCGTCGCCTCCTGGGAGCAGTGAGCAACGCGCCACAGCAAGTAGTCCCAGCAATCTGACAGCTCTGAGACAGATTTACAGGGACCAATCTAAAAAGATGAAAAGCGAGAGCAAAAAGCTCTCGGGGAAGAAGAGAGGCGAGCCGGAGAGGGATGAGGAGGAGGAGGAGGAGGAGTGGGACTCGGAGGCATACTGGAGAGCCTACTACAGATCCTGGAGCGATTACTACTCCTCCATGTCCCGTTTTCCAGAGCAGGGGTACCAAAGCTACTACAGTGCAGCTCAGAACTGGATGGCAGCTTATCGCATGAATACAGTCTACATGCAGGAACTCATGAAACACTGAACTGACTCCTAAATCCAGTGTTCAGTAGACCAGAGCAGTTTTCTGCCTGGGCTTGAGTATTATTTGCACTTTGGGTCGAACACATCACACTCAGATTTCTGTTTTTTTTTTTTTTTACCAATAAATTTAACCCAAGTATGGTGTCTCATTAAGTTCTCTAGTAAATGACTCGTGCTGAGGGCGAACTGCATCGTCGATTCCTGTTCTGTTCTTTTGACATGGCTCGATTGGGAACGTACTTCTGTTCATTAATCAGTCCTCCTGGGGACTGGAGGAGATCAAAGTCTCTCATTCTACATGACTCCTCAGCAGGGCAGCCCGAGGTCAAACATCTCCACACGCTCCTGATTACAGGCTAATCAACACCAACCCTTTTCCCCCAATCAGTGAAAAGTCAGCCCCCTTGAATTCATGAATCTGAACCAGAGCTCATTTTCCCCAATGTTAGCATTTATGTTACAGAGCAGCACAAAGACATTTTTAGACCAAATATTGTAGATTTAAACAATTTTAGACCAAAATGTTAAATTTTAGTCATAAATAGAAAGGTAGGGCACAGCTTGAGACAGTTTATCTGCAAAAACAAGATGATTTAAGGACAATGCGGTGTCGGGCTTCCTGTGCGCCACAGAGCTGCGGCGTGGAGGGATTTCACATTTTAAAGTTTTATGCGAGCAGGGGACGATGTGAGAAGTTTCTGGGTCGGGACAGCCTGAGCTCGCCTCGGCATGTGAAATAACTTCCTTACAACCTGCCAGCTCTGAGACTGAAAGAAATTTGAAGTAAAACGTTTCTGTATACACGCAAAATGAGAGAAAATCCGTTWAAGTTGGGGACAATTTGTACAACTTGACATGTAGGCTAAAGTCTGATGCATGAATCAGAAGAATGTCTGGAAACATGTTGGATCAAATCTTCAGAAAGGTGAGCGTTAAACTGGTAGATCTAAAGAGGAACCTGTACTGTGAGCAGAGAACAAACAGCTCACAGTGATGAGGAAGATGCAGCTGAGAGAACAAATATTGAAGATTTGTTTCCCAATACCAGCTGGGACTATTTATTTTTATCAACTGCAATGATTTTAAACTTTAAAACTGATGGAAAAAAAAAAACAAAAGTGAAAAAGGAAAGTGACCAAACAGCAGAAGAAATGGCTCAGGATGATAAACAAGTGGCTACCATTACTCAGGTTGGTTTGATCACCGAAAAAGTTTATCTTTAACCAACTGCAGTAAGGTTAAACTTTAAATCTTGAGAAAAATAAAGGTCAAAATCTTACAAAGCAAATATTCATGTGTCTGAGCATCAGGATGGAAAGACAACTTGTTGACTGAGATGTGTCTGCTCAAATCAATGTTCTAACTATTGGAGGGGGAAAAGTTCTTCATGCAGTTTGGAGCAGAGTCAGTGTGTTCTCCAAAATGTTCTGCTGGATGTTCAGCAACCAAACTCAGATCAATCCTTGGATTCAAACGGCGGCATGGCGACTCAGTTGTTAGCACTGACGCCTCACAGCAAGAAGGTCCTGGGTTTGATCCCCGGTTCGGACCTGGGGTCTTTCTGTGTGKAGTTTAGATGTTCTCCTCGTGCTTGCGTGGGCTTTCTCCAGGTTAGAATAGGTTGCCTTCAGGCCCAGGCCTCCATTGAAAAACAGATCTGAGATCTCAATGGGACTTGCCTGGTTAAATAACAGTAAATAAAAATAAATGATCTCTGGATCTGGAAGCTTTCAGAGAAATCTCCTTCAAATCCAGAAGTTTCCAAAAAAAAAAACAAAAAACTGACAGAACCAAAGCAGAGCTTTAAAGTCTAAACCTCCTGGTTTTCCTTCACCATTTGAACACATTCAATCTTTGATGAGATTCTAGAGTCCAAATAAACGACAGTATCGAAGTGCAGTTAGTTACCCAAATGCTTGCTGCAGTTGCTCGATCCAGGCAAACGAGAGCAGCTGAAAGGCCAGACTGTCAAACAAGAAGTGGAGAGAAATCAGGCACATTTATAGGGAGGGAGTGGGYGGAGCCCCTTCAGTCACGTACTTCAAACCAGGAATCTGACTTTGATCCAGATCCACCTGATATTTTATCCAAGTTCAAGTTCAGTTTATTTATATAGCGCCAAGTCACAGCATATGTTGTCTCAGGGCACTGCACATAAAAAAGAACAATCTAAAGTTTTTTTTTCTATTTAATAGTTTGTTTTTCAAACATTTTTAGCTTTTCTGAGTTTTCTTTGTCAGACCTTTGTCTTCACAAGTTTACAGTTTGCCTCTCTAATCAGTATTTTACTTCTTAGACTCTTGAATGCCACATTTGAAGTCAATGTTTGAGATGTAAAAAAACACTATGTGGGCAGTGTTAGGYCAGTCTGACTGATGTCATAGGARATGTTYCATCTGTGCTGAAATGCAGAACTGTTTCAGATGCTAACTTAACGAAACACTTAAAAGCTGTAGATCAACCCTGAGGATACACTAAATGCAGGTGGGAGCAAAGATCTTCATATTTAAAGAAAAGAACTGAACCAGAGTGAAAAGTCGCAGGACTAAAATGTGTGGAGACTCGTGGGTCTCTTGGGTTTGATGACAGATAATTTCACTGCTAGTGTGTGAGGGAGCATAAGGTGTCAAGTGTGTGTGCACCCTGCAGCACTTCACCTGCGCAGCTGTGTCCAGATGCTCACACTGAGTAATGGCATGGAACTCTTCCAAGCAGGTGTCCTTTCTTTTTCTTTTCTCTTCTTTTTAGGCAGAGCAGAAAAGCCAACGTTTGTCCCTGGAATCATGTCAGTTTGCCTGTGGAGATTGTTTCTGGCTATGACTGTTTCTAATTTTTTGATTAAACGTTTGGCTGTCTGGACATCAGGAAGCACATCATGAGCTTGCAGGAGCAGTTGGATCATCTTCCTCGTGTCATTGTGTGGATTAACTATTTAACACAATATACCCCAAGGGTGGGGGTGTCTACCTGAGTATCAGGGACTTCTCTGGAGGTCTGACAGAGCTCTCTTTTGTTTTAGGTTGGGTTCTGTAAAAAAGGACTTGAACAAATATTATCTAAAGCTCTATGAAGGATCTAAATTTAGGAAAAAATGAGTTTATATCTGACTATACTCATACGCCAACAGCTAGTCCCAGCAGGGCCGGAACCAAAGTGGACTTCTGCCGTCTCAAAACGACGTAAATTGCCTGTGATATGCATATTTTTCACATACAAAAAGTCAAAGGAAACATCTTTACATTTAAGAAACCTGGCATAACATAAAGGGGTTAGACAATGAAACTGAAGTCTGTCATTTTAGTGTGGGAGGTTTCATGGCTAAATTGGACCAGCCCGGTGGCCAATCTTCATTAAYTGCACATTGCACCAGTAAGAGCAGAGTGTGACGGTTCAATTAGCAGGGTAAGAGCACAGTTTGGCTCTAAATATTGCAAAGCACACAACATTATGGGTGACATACCAGAGTTCAAAACAGGACAAATTGTTGGTGCACGTCTTGCTAGCGCATCTGTGACCAAGACAGCAAATCTTTGTGATGTATTAAGAGCCACGGTATCCAGAGTGATGTCAGCATACCACCAAGAAGGACMAACCACATYCAACAGGATTAACTGTGGAYGCAAGAGGAAGCTGTCTGAAAGAGATGTTATGGTCTAAAACCAGGTGTTTCAGTTTTGTTGTCTAACCCCTGTACATGCTTTTACCCATTTTGTCACATTTTCTTTTGAATTTGGCTCAGCCAAAGTGAAACAGGAAGTGACATCAAAGGGGAACTCTTTAAGAAAGAGTTCTTGGTCTTTGTGTATTGAAACAATATTACTTAAACTTTGACTCTTCATCTCTCTCTCTGATAATGACTCAATGYTCTCTACAATCTGGGTTGTCAGCTATTTTAGCAATGCTCTGTTAACCTTCACACATTCCTCTTTGACATCACTTCCTGTTACTTCACATGTGAATATCTCAACTGTTCATCTCAGTGACATTGTTTTCTTTTAGCAACATGWTAATGTTACCTATTTATTAAAAAAATTGATTTCACAGGCACTTTAAAAAACAATCATTTCACAGCAGGTAACGTGAATGCTGTTCAAATCGCTATCCACATCAGGTAAGATAATAATTGTTCATAACCTTTCCACAGAACACTACTTTAAAATATCTGAACTACCCCTTTTACAAAGAGCCTCTTTTCCATCCCAAGACGCCACTTAAGCTGACAACCAGAAGGTTTCTTCTTCAACACAAAAATCTGGGTCACCACCAAGACTGTGCTTTTGGAAGAAGCGAAAATAACCTTGAAGCTGAATAATTACGAGTCCTGCGCTTGACGCGCTCGGAYGCACACAGGGATTTAAGAGGTGAAGAATGGAGCCCAGAGACGGTGTATTTGTGGCAGATATAGATGTTTTTATCAGGCGTTTCACAGTCGGGACACAAGACAAGGTCATAAATAATATCCAACACCTGACAAGATACACACAGCAGAAAGTCTCAACAACGACAGGTGGCATAGGAGGACAAAGCAAAGAGTGAAGAGGGACCAGAGGAGCTCAGAGAGACAGTCAAAAGGAGAGTACGCAACAAAGAGACAAACAGCCACAGACCCACTTTTGTTATTTGTAAATGAAAATGCAGTTCTTTGATACTCTGAAAGCAATGTATGCTTACATACGGCGTCGTCTGAAAGYTCAGCTGACATGAAGTCACCTGTGTGAAACAGGGAGCAGGAAAGGAAGTTTAAAAGTAATCCTCAATAACAAAACACAGGGATCTGTCACCTCATCCACTTCTGAATTTCATTAGATTCTAAACATTAAGCGTTATCCTTTAATTCCTTTTAAAATACAACATGTATCTGTGCTTGTTCWATTTTAATTTTTTTAACTCCATAAAAATTATTGGCAAACGGTTTGACTAAAACACAAATACTGGCTAGCCAACGTGGACTGAAAAGTTTACTAGATCAGAAGTAAAAATCCTCCTGTTCCAACTTTGTAGGACAGTTGCTGCTTTCCTTTTTTAAWTTTTTTTTGGGGTCTTTAGTTTAAGAATTGTAGCACAACACAGGAGGCCAGTTGCTCTGACGCCTAATCTGGCTGCTTAAACTAGTCCACTTCTGCAAGAAGGAGAAACACTCAGCTACAAAACTGCTTTTACAGTCATAGCCACGGTTGCATCTGTGTGCTCGTTCCCCCATTAAATTACCACGCTACGTGGAAGTACGTGTTTTGTCTTCGTTTCTCTGTTGATGAGCAACAAGCTGCTGTCTCCTTCCACCTTAAAGCAGACATATTTCTGAAGCTGCTTGACCCAAAACTACATAAAAAAACCAAAGTGTCGAAATTGAAGCTAAAATACCCTTGCTTATAGTTACTAAGATGATAATTTGAGATAATGCTTAAAGTAATGGCTCAGACCGTTTGAAGTGAGGTTCTGTGGAATAGATATGAACAAAATAACTTGCTTATTGTTTATCGCTGTTTGACTGAACTTGATTTGGAGAAACAGTTATTTGAATGGTCTGACCAGCTAATGGCTAGTCTGAGCAAGAGCCAAGAGTAAAGTGGAGTGAGTTCTGTCAGCAGTTCATACAATTCATACAGTTGTGGTCAAAAGCTTACATACACTTGTAAAAAAACATAATGTTATGGCTGTCTTGAGTTTTCAATAAGTTCTACAACTCTTATTTTTCTGTGATAGAGTGATCGGAACACATACATGTTTGT